TGGGAGGTGGAGGCAGGAGACTTGCTTGAGCCCAGGAGTTGGAGGTTGCTGTGAGCTGTGATGCCACGGCACGCTACCCATGGTGACAGCTTAAGGCTCTGTCTCAAAAAAAAAAAGAAGAAGAAAAAGAGAAGAGACATGAGGCCCGTGCCTGTGACAGGCTGTCTAGTAATAGAGTTAAGACCTGTTTCTTTCCCTCAACATAACCCAGTATGGGAACTTCAGCACATACATACATACGTACTTACATATTCTGAGCCAGGAAGAAGATAGGTAGGAAGCCTTCAATGAATGCCAGGGGCCGGGGGTGGAGGTCCTCTGCAGCTTTGGGCTCTGTGCAGCCTTCAGAAGGAGCATTTGTCTGGGCCAGAAGCGGGCGATTCCATAGGCAGAAAGCGCAGCCAGGGAGCAGGAGCAGGGGCTCTAAATGGAGGCTGGTGGAGTCCAGGTGGGAGGTGGGAAACTTCAGTTATCAGAGGGCTCAGCTGGGTGGGACCAGGGGCTGGGTGAGGAGTGGATGCAGCATCTAGCAGGTCTGGGGCAGTGACTTGTGGGTTAAATGAGTTAAATGAAGGCCTGGAGGTGCTGGATGGTTTTGAACAAGTGTGATTAAGCTGGCAGGTGCCACATGTTCTTAAGTAACTGTGATTAGTGTTAATTGGGAGCCAGTGTTGTTCTGCCGGTGGAGAGAGAAGCAGTTTCCTATGCTAGTTCACCTGCCCCACAAGCTGCGTGAAGGCGATGTCTCCGTGCCTGCTCACTGGCCACCAAGTTGAGTAAAGGGCATGTCGCAGCTCCTTGTTTCTTTTTCTGTTTGTCCCAGTCCAGTCTGTGCTGTTGCCAAGGGTAGTTGGCTGACTGGCCTGTTTAGAATTTTAATCTTTCTCCTTCTATTAGGTGGTGTTCTGGCAAGTTCGGAGTCCCAGGAAGCTTAAGAACTAACTCTGATTGTTTTCTTTTCTGTTTTTATTTCTTTATTTAGAGACAGAGTCTCACTCTGTTGCCCTTGGTAGAGTGCTGTGGCATCACAGCTCACAGCAACCTCCAGCTGTTGGGCTCAAGTGATTCTCTTGCTTCAGCCTCCCGAGTAGCTGGGTCTACAGGCGCCCGCCACAACGCCCAGCTATTCTTTTCTGTTTTTAAAAGTACAGTGGAAATGGCGGTGGAGTTCTCTCTCCGCAGTCTTTGCCTTCTAACCTTGCCCCTCCCATCTCCTGTGCACTGCAGGTACGGGTTTAACAGTCATGGGCACTCCGCGGTGGAACACAGGTTACAAGCCAGACGGCAGAAGCAGGCCAGGCTCACGGAAGGTAAGGTGGTGTTACGTTTCAGAGCGCTTTTCATTTCGTGGGAGAAACGGTGGCAATATTGCTAGTGAAATAAACATGATTGAGCAGTTAGAGAAAACCCCTAAGGAACTCGGGCCCCTCTCCTAGAGCGATTTTCCTGGTCTCCGGGAGGCAGGCAGCACAGCGGGGGTTCACCGCCTCTGCCGGCAGGTGCAGGAGCTCAGGTGTGGACGGGGAGACTGTAGGCAAGGACGGCCTCAAAATGTTGCACAGGAATTGGTGTGTGGGCCCAAAATCTTGACCAGCGATATTTATAGATGGACTGCCACTGGGAATAAACCTGGGGAAGAATAAGACGTCAGTGGATGCTGCTTCAGACTACGCAGAGGGTGTCCGAGTGCTCGGCCCCTTGGCAGACTACCTGGTAGTGAACGTGTCCAGCCCCAACACGGCTGGGCTGCGGAGCCTTCAGGGAAAGGCCGAGCTGCGCCACCTGCTGACCAAGGTGGGCAATTACACCTTTCATCCTACCCACTCCCATTCTCCAGGGATGTTATGCTTGGGCCTGACCTTCCAGAATTTGTCCTTCACACCTCCAGCCGTCCTCAAACTACTGCCCGAGCCACATGCGCCTCCCTCCCCCGGACATTTATCCAGCCCGCCGGGTGTTTTTGCCGCCGCTGCGTGTCGTGCTTAGCAGCTAACTCGTCCCGGGGCCCGCATTCTGTCAGGTGTGGAGCGGGACCCTCCAATGGTCTGAGGGACAGTGAACTGGCCCCCTCTTTAAAAAGTTTGAGGTCCCCGATAGACAGGACACTCTCCACACCCTCCTGAAGAACCCTCTGACCATCTGTCACAACACTGATTATATGCAATAGTAACTGTTGAGTTATCTGTCCCTGCTGTTAGACCATCAGGCCCATGAGAGCAGGGACTGTGTCTCATTATCACTCTATCTCTGGCACCCAGCACAGTGAATGAATTGAATGACTTTTCATCACCTTGTACTCAGTGCAGTATTTTATGGTTATCTTTTAGGAACAAAAATCTATAAAACCTTAAGATACCTAGTAGTCCATGCCAGTGGGTTTTCCTTGGTTTAAAAGAATTGAATCAAAGCCATCTTGATGGAGTCCCTCACGTGAGGGCTGGGTTTCCTAAAAAGGAAAAATTGCTCATGCTTTAGTTCAGTGGTTCTCAACCTTCCTAATGCTGCGACCCTTTAATACAGTTCTTCGTGTTGTGGTGACCCCAACCATAAAATTATTTATGGTTCCACAACATGAGGAATTGTATTAAAGGGTCATGGCATTAGGAAGGTTGAGAACCACTGCTTTAGTTTGATAATGAGTGAAAACCCACTGATCTGTGGCTTTAGGTCCCAGCTGCAATGTTGGGCTGCGGTCTAGGGGTCCCTATCTCTGACCATGTGTCACCCAGGTGCTGCAGGAGAGGGATGCCCTGCAGGCAGCGCATAGGCCCGCAGTGCTAGTGAAGATCGCCCCTGACCTCACTGCCCAGGATAAGGAGGACATTGCCAGTGTGGTGAGAGAGGTCTGAGTGGGAGCCTGGGTCTGGGGTGGGGGGGTGGGGGGAGGGTACCTCTCATTGTCTGTTAAGGCCATTTGGCCAGCTGGGATAGCCCAGAACAGTAGCCTTTGTGACTTCCTCTCTATGACATTGAAAGCTGGTTTGGTGCTTGTCATAGTGGAATTCATCCCATAGTAAAGAGTGGAGGCTCAGTGCCTGTGGCACAAGTGGCTAAGGCGCCAGCCACATCCACCTAAGGTGGCGGGTTCGAATCCAGCCTGGGCCCGCCAAACAACAACAATGGCTGCAACCAAAAAATAGCTGGGCATTGTGGCAGGTGCCTGTAGTCCTAGCTACTTGGGAGGCAGAGGCAGGAGAATCGCTTGAGCCCAGGAGTTGGAGGTTGCTGTGAGCTGTGATGCCATGGCACTCTACCTTGAGGCTCTGTCTCAAAAAAAAAAAACCAAAACGGATATTTGAATGAGTCATTTTCTTATGCCTCTTTCTTCTCTTTCCTCATCTTCATCTAGCAAGGGCATTAACCTTTGTGCTTGTATCCTTGGCTGGTCTCAGCTGGGCCAGAGTGTTCTGTCTCTTTGCAGCCTTTATGAACACCAGGTCTTTCTGGCTTAGGGGAGTAGTAGAAACACAGACTGAGCCCAGCAGTCGTAGGTAAAATCTTGGTTTTTCCAGGTGTCTCAGACAAGACACTATTATTGATCAATTGAGACAGTGTCTTGCTCTGTTGCCTGGGCAGGAGTGCAGTAGTGTTGTCATAGCTCACAGCAACCCCAAATTCCTGGGCTCAAGTAATCCCCCTGCTTCAGCCTCCAAAGTAGCTGGGACTACAGGTGTGAGCCACTGCCCCTAGCAAGACACCATAAAGAGGATTGTTGTAAGGATTAACTGTCCTGGTGGAATGTTTTGGGTACTCAGTATGATGGCTATTATTATCACATTGTGGCTCCTTCAGATATTTGTTCAAGGAAAGAAGGCTAGTGAGGTCTGCTGCAGCCCTTGTTCCAGGGGCTGTAGGTGGGGGTGCCCAGCCTGGCCTCTGGCTCAGACCTCCAGAGAAGCTGAGTCCTGCAGTGCCAAGTTTCAGGGGCTTTTCTGTGTCATATTGCAGTTGGGCGTGGATGGATTGATCGTCACGAACACCACAGTGAGCCGCCCTGCCGGCCTCCAGGGTGCCCTGCGCTCTGAAACAGGAGGGCTAAGTGGGAAGCCCCTCCGGGATTTATCAACTCAAACCATTCGGGAGATGTATGCGCTCACCCAAGGCAAGGCTTCTCGTGTCTCAGATCTGTGTGTGGCTAGGGTTCCTGATGGGAATCACTGTTCCCTAATCTACTGTGTTTGGAGGCTGTCAGGCTAAAGCCAACCTGACAGCTTCAGGGGTCCTTGTCCCCACATTCTTCCTCACGGTGTCACCACGTGCTTCTCTGCAGGCAGAATTCCCATAATTGGGGTTGGTGGTGTCAGCAGCGGGCAGGACGCGCTGGAGAAGATCCGGGCAGGGGCCTCCCTGGTGCAGCTGTACACGGCCCTCACCTACAGGGGGCCGCCCTTGGTCTGCAGAGTCAAGCGGGAACTGGAGGCCCTTCTCAAGTGAGCAGGCCACGTGCAGCTGAGACAGAAGTTAGGAGACTTGGACTCTGACTCCAGTCTTAGAGGCCATTCATCTATGTACTGTTCATTCAGAAAGGATTTGAGAGGTTCACTCTGAAAGTGGTGAAAACCATGCTGTTACTTTGATAGAGGACAGTGTCAAGGGGATTTGGGATTAACTTTCATGGCCATGTGTTTATAGGCAGAGTTATCCGTTTCTCTGAGGAACGGGAGTATGAGGAATCCTGGCAGCATTCCCTGTGATTATGTAACATTTGCTCAATGTCAGGGAGCTGTATTTACTTAAAACGAAGTTTCCTTCCTGCTCTGAAGACCTGGGTAGAAGTATCTCTGGGTGAGACAGTGCAGAGAGCATGAGAGGTACCCGGGCTGGGGCCTGGGTGAACTGGGCCTCCTGTGAGAGCAGGGCCTGAAAATTGCTTTGTTTGCTCTTTTTCCAGAGAGCAGGGTTTTGGCAGAGTCACAGATGCCATTGGAGCAGATCATCAGAGGTGAGGACATCGTCTGCCAGGAAGCCTGATTTGGAACCTTCCTGAAAATGCAGGGGAGCCTTGGTGGCTGGATAGTGAGAGGAGAGACTGCCTTGCACCATGTCCCCCAATCCACGGCCTGGCCTCCCTGTAAAAGGCAATCCTGGGGTCATTAGCCTTCACAGCAGGCTTGCTTCAGTCCCTGGGTCAGATCATAAACTGCATTTGTGATGCTTTCCAGATTCAAATCCTAGGATCCTTCAATATTGCAAAGACACTGGATATTTGGAGAAAAAAAAAGTCATGGAAAAAATAAAGCCATTTGGAACTTGGATTTAAACCTCAGCCCTTTCTCCATTCTCTGCCGGTCCTCCCAGGCCTCTACTACCTGACCTTCAGGGGCATCCTAGGAACTCAAGTGCCTTTCATTTGATCTCTATTTTTATTTATTTTGTTTTTAAAATTTAACATTTCAGGTACAGACAACAGTTGCAAGAATAGTACCATGAAAAAAATAAAAAGCTCAATGAACTTTGTTCTGTGCTTGCCTTTAAAAAAAAAATACAAGCCTGGGTGCAGTGGCTCATACCTGTAATCCCAGCACTCTGGGAGGCTGAGGTGGGTGGATTGCCTGAGCTCAGGAGTCTGAGACCAGCCTGAACAAGAGTGAGACCCCCATCTCTATAAATAGCCGGGTGTTGTGGCAGGTGCCTGTAGTCCGAGCTACCCAGGGGCTGAGGCAAGAGGATCACACGAGCCGAAGAGTCTGAGGTTGCTGTGAGCTATGACGCTGCAGCACTCTACCAAGGGCAACTGAGTGAGACTCTCAAAAAAAAAAAAAAAAAACTCAGGAACTTTCGCATACTCTTCATTTTGATTCACCAGTTAATATTTTTTCATATTTTTCATATATAAAGCAAACTTGTAGATACATCTATGTATTATTACTGAAGCATCTGAGGGTAAGTTGCAGCTGTCATGACCCTTTGCCCTTGAGTGCCTTGGTCCGAATCTCCTAGCACACTGACAGTGGTCTGTGGTGCTAACGGGCGTGCATTCTGATCCCCTCACACAATCTGGTACTCCTGACTTGAGGAGTCACTCTCCAGAAGTGACTGTTGTTTGGTGCGTATCCTCCCAGGCTTCTCCCCTTGCAGAAAAACATTTGTACACACGGAAATGTAAATGTTCTGTAGACCTATTTATACAGGGAATGTACAGTTTTCTATGTATTTTGCATTTTTTTTTTTTTTTTTTTTTTGAGATGGAGCCTCAAGCTATCCCCCTGGGTAGAGTGCTATGGCCTCACAGCTCACAGCAACCTCCAACTCCTGGGCTCAAGCGAGTCTCCTGCCTCCGCCTCCCAAGTAGCTGGGACTACAGGCGCCCGCCACAGCGCCAGCCATTTTTTGGTTGCAGCCATCATTGTTGTTTGGCGGCCCGGGCTGGGGATTCGAACCCGCCACCTTAGGTGTATGTGGCTGGCGCCTTAGCCGATTGAGCCACAGGCGCCGAGCCGTATTTTGCATTTTCATCCACGTAACATCACAGATAGGATCCTGTGCTTTACTTCATTGTTGTCACCTGGACATTATGCTCATGTGAACCTGCCTCACTCCTTTAGCCGGGTGGCTTTAGCAGTTCTATTGGTGATCACTTGGAAACTTCCAGTGTTTTCTGATCACAGTGCCCCGGGGATCATCCTTGTGTGTGTATTTGTATCTTCATGTGTTATGCAGTTTCTGAAAGATAAGGTAACCTAAAGAAGATGCCACCATGATAGAAACTAATGTCCTCTGAACAGCGATGGTGGGCTGGGACGTTGTGCCAAGGGCTTGATGTTCCCTCTTGTCCTGCTCGGAAGCTGTTGGGCGGAGCAGGGCTGGGCAGTCTGACCAGAGTGCATGGCCTGGAATGGCTCTGCCATAGGTCATCGGTAACTGCTTTTAATAGGTGGCTTATGGCCACCTCTGTTTCTCCATATCCAATTGCTACTCAAGGAAAAGTAACACATTAGAGGAGAAATGGGAATGGGCAATAGTAGGTCAGTGCTCGTGCTGACCAGTCCTCTGTGTGGTCGCTCTCTGGCATGGCTCTGACCCTGGGTCAGGTGTCTACACACCCTCTGGGCACTCTCCTTGGTCTGTCTGGGCTGTTACTCTGCAGCCACCTCCCTGCCCCTTTTCAGAGAACCTCCCTTTGCCCCGCTGAGAAGCCTCAGGACTGAACTCTGCAGGGAAGGGAAGGAGGTGGAAGAGGGGAGGAGTTATCTTTGGGAAGGTTCTCCTTTGGAGACTGTCCTATCTCTACAGAGCTATAACCGGCTGCCATAGCTTCATGTGAGCCCCAGAGCGCCAGGCAGTGTGAGGAGGTATCTATTTTTTCTTAATCCTTAAAGCCACTCTCAGAGCCCAGAGACACTCATGGTGCTGGAACATACGGTACAAGCACCAGGTTGATGGTGGCCCAGTGAGTGGCATGGTGCATGGAATTCTAAACGCAATGAACATCCCTCATGTGTGGTTTCTGTGGGGTGCATAATTGACATCATTTGCCCATTTCCCATTAAATGTAAGCAGCTAGTTAAATTATATGCTGTGACTCACTGTTCACATATCATTTCTAACAGCCTTTTGGTTTTCCGCAGCATAAATACATCTACGTTGCTCATGGTAAACGTGTGGCTGTTTCCAGTTTCCCCAGCACAGACGGTATCTCTGTGTTCCTCTGCAGAATCCCTGTAGAATAGATTCCCAGACGCAGCATCGCTTGGGCCAAGGTTATATGCCCTTAACTTTTGATAGCTATTGCCATAGTGCCATTAGAGAGGGCTGTCCCAAAGTATGTGTCCTCTCTGACTTCGGAGAGCAGACCTCTTTTCCCCTACGTTGCTCCATGCTAGAATTTCCAAGAGCTGGTCTGGACTAAGTTGTTCATCCTGCTCCACTTTCCTATTGGGAATAGCTTGCATCATGGCTGTCCCTTGGTGGAAAATGATAAAAGAAACTGAAGGGTTAGCGAGTTAGGTTGGGCTGCAGCCAGAGTGATAGCCATATCCACTTCTGTATGTGTGTGTGTGCACACAAGCTTGAAATCAGACACAGAGCAGGACAACAGAAGGGGTTTCCCCTTGGTTCACCCAGTCCCATTTGTCTCAGATGACCCCGCCTGCCTTTTCTCCTGCCAGTATGGCCTGCAGTAGGCTCAGCCCTGCATTGGAAAGGGCTGGGGGCAGGCACATCAAGTCACCCATGCTCAGTGTTTTGAGAGAATCCATTTCCCTGCTGACCTTCTGATAAGCTGCTTCTGGGTCAGGTTCTAAATTGTGTTTAGGTCAGATTTTTTGTCAAGAGAATTTTCTAAGGCTAGCCATAACACTAGTATGCTTTTTTAAGCTTAACTTTTTCATAAATACAAATAAAGCAATGATTGCTAACACTTTTTTTTTATGTTAAGACTCAAATTTAAAGGCTGTCTCTTCTGGCATTAACAATTAGAATGTTCAATGGTGTACCTACTTTAATAGTGACTCAATCCAATAGCCTCTTCATGGAAATTTCAGGATATAGTATTCCAGGTCTGGAATTATTTTATACTAGTTAAGAAAGAGGTATTTCCTGGAGAAGGCTATAGCAGCCTGGATAGCCTATGGCTAGGGGTGAGAGTTATAAGTAACACCTGTATAGCTCAACAATGGAACACCTTGGTGAAAAGGGCAGGGAGAGGGATTTAGCTCTCCTAATAAGCATGAGAGGTCCCGAAATGAGAGCATTGGTGAACCTGTGGTGTTGACAGGCACGAGATCAGTCATTTTTTTTTTTTTTTTTCAGTTTTTGGCCGGGGCTGGGTTTGAACCTGCCACCTCCGGCATATGGGGCTGGCGCCCTACTCCTTTGAGCCACATATGCCACCCTGAGATCAGTCTTATATTAGGCTAGAGGAGAAGGCAGTTGGGAGTGTGCACATTCTATCATGGACCTGCTTTGAGTCTGTCTCCTCTCCTGCCTGCAGAACGCCAGCACGGGGTCTCTCTGCTGAAAATCACTAAGCTCTGCTAAAGACTAAGATCTATCTTTCTAAGAAGACTGCTTTACTCTCTCAAAGACTCTCTCCCCTCAGCTAAGGTAAATAACCCTCAGGCACCTAAGACCAATTGTTCCTGAGCGAGATAACAGCATCTGTCCAAGTCCAGAACCTACTTAAGCCTGGGCCTGAGACCAACCAGTCCTGGGTCCTGATAAGTGACTGCATGAAAGGACCCCGACAGAGGGCACAGAAGAGGCAATCCCAAAGGTACCCCCCACAGAAAAATTCACTCCCAGGAATAGGTCAACATGGGAAAGACTCTTGTTGCTACAGACAGTTAAGGATAGTGTTTCTGTGTACGTTGCCTTTGGCAACTCACAAGTTTGTGTGTGGGGCTCCCAGTCACAGATTGAGTAGGCCTTGCTGGGTATGGGCCTTCCCAGGTCTAACCAGGCTACAAGGGTTGAGATGACAAAAGCTCTATTATAGAGGATTAAACATCATACTTACTACAACAGCCACCAACATCATAACCCATCTAAGGAATTACTGAAAACAAGACATTCTCCTGGCAAGCCTGGAAATCTCTTAACTTCGAAGGGAAGCCACCAAGTAACTCAGTAATCCTGGAGGAGCAAAGTTCAGTCCTGTAGTAGTAAAGCTAGTGTTAGACATTAAGCATTTTTTTTTTTTTTT